AAAAAAAAAAGATGATGGCTAACATTATCACTTAAAATCAGGGACCAAAAATAACTGTTATCTCGAATTTACAAATTGAAAACGTTGCCTGAATTCTGAAATTTAACGAAAACGTTGTTTCATAACAGTTAATAGATGAGGAATGTTTTTTCCGTTGCTGATAAGAGTTATTTCCCAACGTTTACTTTTTACCTTGCTCGATAACGGTTATTGCCCAACGTTTATTTTTTACGTTGCTTGATAACAGTTATTGCCCGACGTTTATTTTTACGTTATCTGATAATAGTTATTTCAATCTCTCACTTTTATTTCACCATCTTTATCTTATACTCCATCTCCATCTTCATCAATATCCTAATCTTACAACGTTTATCAGACAACGTAAAAAATAAACGTTGTAAAATAACTCTTATCCAGCAACGTAAAAAAATAAACGTTGGGAAATAACTCTTATCGGCAACGGAAAAAATATTTCTCCTGCATAACAGTTATCAGGCAACGTAAAATGTAAACATTGGGTTATAACTCTTATCGACGAAATAAAAAATATTTCTCATTTAATAACTGTTATGGAGCAACGTTTTTGCTATAAAACTTATAACTTTTATGTCCCTGCTTAAAATAGTGGCACTATATCGCGAAAAACCATAAGATCAGGTCATCTGGTTTCTTACCCAGCGTTTCCTTGCAGAAATACAGAGTACCATAGTCCTTGTTTACTTGGCGCTCTGTGTTCATTTTCCGGTTTAATTTCGGTGTGAGCATGACTCCCAAATACTTAGCCTATGGGCAAGGAGTGTGTGCTTTTAAGGAACGTAAGCTAAAATTAGGACACTTTTTCCTTTGTAGTGAATAATCGCACTTCGGCCTTCGAGGGATTAACCCAATTCTCCTAGTGCTCTTTAAAGCATTCCGCTTATCACATTTATGCACAATCTGGATACCACTGTCACTATATTGTCTGCTTACACGACAACTTTGATCCCTTCCCTGTTGAGTCTTAGTTGAATGTTGTTTAGTACGCAAAGCCACAGCAGCGATGACAGTACCTCGCCTTGCGGAGTCCCCCATTTTGCACGTCTGATGTTTTCGCTGTTGCCTAGCTTAGCATTTCCAATCCTTGTACGAAGCATGGTGGAAATCCAGTGACGTCTCTATAGCCTCTAAGATAACGTTGTTGGACGCCCCTTCTATGTCCAGGAAGGCCGCCAACATATATTGTTTATTTTCCAGCGAAGACTCTAGCTTGTGTACAACCTTATGGTGCGCAGATTCTGTAGAGCGCCCTTTTAGGCTGCAGTAGATAGTTCTACGTGTCCTAATTTTGAACGAATGTGCTTGCCTAGTAGCCGCTCGAATATTTTCAATACAAAAGACGAGAGATTAGTGGGTCTGAAGTTCTAGGGCACCGTATGCCATCTCTTGCCTACATTGGGAGTGAAACCTACTTTAACACTTTTCCAAGTATACAGAACTTAGTTGAGCAGTATACATGCTTTGAAATTTCGACTTAGTTCCTTTTTAGTGGATAAATTAGCCTTACAATAATAGGAATTAGGTTAACATTGCAGACTACGAAATTTTCGATTTTCGCCCACTGCGTCAGCGACTTTGCTAACCTTATCTAAACTTTTACTTTCGTGCAATGGCATATACAATTTCGTAAGTAACTGTATGTTTGCAATCATATACAAAATAAATACATTTTTTCTGTGTCTCGTATAAACAAACAAATACACAAGTGTCAACTGAATTTGATATTTCTTATAGTATTTTGAAATATTTTTGCATTTGCTATAACTGCAGAGTTTTTAGAAGCAGTGGAAGACCATTTCGCAAATAGATTAAAGTGAGGCGGCAAGTGGGGGACTAAAATGTGTTTAGCGACGCAGAGTCAAGTATGATTTTCATCTTAGCTTGATTTGACTGGTACTATTTCCGAGAATCTTTTTTGTTTTTAATTTATTATACATTTTCGTGGATTTCCGACCGTCTTTGACGAACCAACCAAATGGGCGCCTGCGGCTGCAAGCCAAACTTTAAAAGACGAACCACGCTTTCGACTTGCGCTAGCTTAGATGCTGTTAAGCGCTGGCTAAATCTGACTACAGCTCAGAATACGAAGCGCCGCTCAGCACACGTCATCGTTGTCGATTCGCCGCCTAATAAAGCAGCATACACTTGCTTACCAATAAACTGCGGCTTTGTCTGAAGCTTGGTCTTTGCCTTTTACTTCTCTTTATCGTCATATGTATGTGAGTCTCCGTTGCTATAGCTTCACGCTTCGCGTTTAACGTGTTTTTTGTGCTTGTTTGCTTGTTGTTTTTTTTTTGCTTCTTTTCTGCAACTTCATATGGCACTGTGGAGCTGTGGAGTATGCGAGTAGTGTTTTCCGCCGCCCACTCCCTTGTGCCTTTCCGCTGCGTCCGACACGCGCACTACATCGCGCGCTCACCGCAAAGCAGCGCTAGCCAAGTCGGGCAGACGCGTCGCCGAGGCGCTACTTTCGAGCGCGTGTGTAGTATGCAATGCGCTGCGAATGGAATTAGACGTGTCTCTCGGGTGAGCATCAAATGTGCTGTGCTCCGTTTTACTTCGTACAAACATATAAACTTTATATAGAGATGTGTGACTTAACTAAAAACTGCATGAATGTCTGTCTCTATTGAAGTTAGTGAAGTGAATTGAAGTTCGAAGAAATAAGAAAAAGTGAAGAAGTTAAAGGAAGTGGAACGTAGACGCGCGGCGGTAGAGGTGAACAAAAAATATGAAATTATGAATCAGTAAAGCAAAAGTTCGCTAAAGAATAGAAATTGTGTGAATTAAAAAAAAAAAAAAAAAATTTTATAATAAGGCGGCGAAATTTTGTGCGCTTGAAACAGGTCAGCACGGTCTTTTGGGGCATTGCAATAAAAGAAAAGTAAAATAGTGCGCTTTACCGTTAGGGTGTGCAATAATTCCGCATGAAGTTGTAAATTCGAAGTACGGCGTGTAGCGCTAGGTACATAGTAAATGGGTAGTGATTGAGAAAGCGCATAGCTGATAGATGGCATATACTGACGCGCTACCCCACTAAAATTGGAGCAGTTAAACGACGACGGTGTGTAGCGGACCAAACGCGCTACTACAAGGCTGCCAGACGCCAGCAAGGAGAGCGGTAGGAGCAGGAGGAGGAGGAGGATAGAAATTTGCAGGTGCGTGCCTAAAAACATAGTACACACGCAATCACACACACACACACACACACACACACATACATATGTATGTATATACATACGTACTAAATATATACTAATATGAAAAGGCGCCGCATTTTATCGGCGAGCAACGAAAAATCGATTTTCCGCCCTATTTTGTGCTACTCTGGGCTTTTGCTCCCCTTTCCCACATTGCCATTTTTAGTACTCTATCAGCATGTGTTTTTTTTTTTTTGGTGGCTTTAACTATGTATCCGCATATAGGTATGTACGTACATCTATACGTTTGAAGGTAGTATGTACATTAGGGCGGGTCAGTTTTTTTTTTGACTAAGCGCGTTTTGCATAGGAGGATTCTACGTGTAATTTTTAGCAAATTTGCCGAAGAAACCATGGCTCTAAAATCGTTTAGAAGTTTGCCAAATTGCGAAAATGGTTTTCGAAGAAAAAGTGAAAATTTTCACTGTTGCGCCTTCTTATGGAAGTTGTAAGAAAAAGTTAAGTGCATAAATGGATTCCTCCCACAAAAAAAACCCGTTATAGCATGTTTTAATAAAAAATTTAAGCACTTAATTACGACACTACAGCAAATTGGTAAGAAATTTATTTTCGCAATTTGGAAAACTCCAAAGTGATTTTAGAGCCATGGTTTCTTCGGCAAATTTGCTTAGAATTACATTTGGAATCCTTCTGTGCTATACGCGCAAAAGTCGAAAACATCTCCCATACAAATTGACCCGCCCTAATGCGCGTGCTATGTCTGTTGCTATATATTTTTTGTCGCTTTTTGGTTATCCAACAATCTCACCATCCACGCCATTGCCAATGTTCTTCCTCCACACTATGTAACAACCGGTACGAAGTGACGCCGTGCTTTAGCATCAACCAAATTGACTAATTTGACATGTGGCCGCTTTAGTCGCGACGCGTTACCACCGCCTACACTGCTGCCAACGTCGCGTCGTCACCCAATATCTATCGCCTATTTACCGATCTCCAGGACTATGCGACTTTGTTTTAAAAGTACATTCACTTTGCATGCTCTGCCTGCCTGTTTGCCTACTCAGAGACATACACACTTGCACAAACCGGTATACTCATATGTGGTACATCCATGTAAATTCAGACAACCTAAAATTATGAGTGGATGGTGAGATTGACAGTGGTTCGCTAATTAAAGGAGTGGGGGTTTTTTTTTTTTTAAATATGTTTCCGGCTATTTATGATTGGAGAGATGAGATACGTAGAGAGTGGTTGAGATAAGCGATCTAAAGCTCCTTTTTTTGCTCCGCCGCTCTTCACAATACCACGTCTGCTTTGAGGTCATCAAGCTGATCGATGTAGTTACTGCCAAGAATTTTTACTCCCCGTTTTGATAGAACGGGGCGATGACAGAGAAGATGTTGGATGATTTCTTCTTCGTTCGCATCCATATAGCAACTGCAGTCGTCGTAGCAGAAAGCGCTCAGTCTAGTTGCTTTCTGCGTAAAATCAAGATTATCCTTATATCTGTGTCAGGCACTGTCGCTTGATATCGCGCGAGTTGGGTTTGGTTTGATTAGGAAGGTGCAAAGATTTGGCCATTGTGAATACCCTCTGTGTGTACCAGAAGGAGGCAAATCCTTCTAACCGAAAGTCTGTCTAACCATTTACTATCCCGGATAAAGCCGTGGCTGTTCGATATTTTCACCTTCGCTATCTCCCCCAAGCAATTGAAAAATTGTTATCCCAAAAGTTTGAGACGCCTTATCTGGAGATCTGACATTGACATAAGAAGTGGGAAATGCATTCCTTTCCATCTTCATCGCGACAACTTCTGCAGAGAGAGCTTGTTGGTATATGCCATCGATAGAGTATTGGTGCTATAGCACATTGCCCTGTGATGACACCGGTAAGAGCCCTTATCGGAGATTTGTTTAGTTCCTCACTATGACTCTTTTTAAGTCTCGGTCACAAAGATCTTGGGATCTCACAGTCATTCCGATTGATCCAAAGGTCCTTTGTTTACATCTGTGGTGTATTCTTCAATCATCCTTAGTAGAAAAGAAATCAGTGGTAGTAGGGAGTTACTCGCTTCAGTAATTTGCATTTCCGAGCCGTGTTCAGCCATTTAATCAGCTAATTCGTTCCCTTCTATATTGCTATGTCCAGGAACCGAGCAGAGAGATGTTTTGATATGACTCAGTAAAGCCAACGACCCTTCCGAGCTGCGTTCGACTTTACCACCTTGGAGCCTAATGTTTTCAATGTCTCCTGGATGTCAACGAATATAGTGATATTCCCCGACAGCGGTTTATTATTCCGTGTGAGAAAAGCCGTTTTCTCTTTGGCAAATATCTCCGCCTGAAAGACAGGGCAGCTATCAGGTACGATTGCCTTATTTGAAGGTCCTTGGAGTACACAGACCCGAGGCGACTCCCTTTTCCAACTTTGAGCCATCGATGTAGATGGAAATACCATCATTTACCGACATAGGACCACTTTCCCAATCTTCCCGGGTTGGAAAGTGTATGGGCCAGTCTTGCGATTTCCCTGAATGTCGCAATGGTGAGGTACCCAGCTAAAAATTTCGTTTGGAGCTAAAACGGTCGAAAAAAACAGCTAAATAATACTAATAGTAGCTAAAATGAAGAGCTAAATATTTTTGTTAAGGTTGAACATTTATTGACGTAAGATTGTTTTTACATCTTTGGCAATTTTAATAAAAACAACGAATTTTATAAGTTTAAGTGCTGAAAAATCTTTTTTTTTTATAACCAAAATAAGGTGTATACTTATATTTCGAATTCGTTGATATGGCACTTATAACAGTGAACTAAAAATACTTTACAAACTGTTAAAGTCTGTAATTCCAAATATTTGAATTAGTAATTTTTTCTCAAAATTTTTCTGGAAAGTTTTCTTCCAGCTCTCCTTAAAGGTAAAATTAGTAAGGTTTAACAAAATCCGCGCTATCAGAAAAAGGATTTTCTTCTAATTAATTTTTGAATTCTTTAACCTAGATCCAAGAGATTATGATGTATACACTGCATCTCGCAAAATTTCCATTTTATCAACGCTTAAGTTTTGGCTTATTTATATCAAATAAAATTTAAACTTTCTGAAGCTAAAAAGTGCTAGATAAATTTGAAAATAGCTAACAAAAAAGAGCTAGGAGCTAAAACCAAATTTTTGGAGCTAAATAGAAAAATAAAGAGCTTAATCTAGCATCAAAAGCACCAAAATGGCAACACTGCCAGCTATGCCTCATTCCTCTCGTTGAGAGATCGGCGGCATTGAGCAACTACTTTTGAAGTAAGCGATGTTTTGCCCGGGTATTTGACAGCCGCCTAGCTGTGAGTACAAATAACATGACTAGGAATCATATCATACTGTACCAGTGATGCGGCCTTTGAGATAGCCATCAGTTCCGGATGAGAAATATGAAAAAACACGCGTTTACTAAGCCAAGTTATTCCTCTCATCTTCTTGATAATAAAGGCGAAAGTTGGGACTTCCTCTCGGTCACATGAATAATGAAAACTCAACCAACTTCAACTGCGGGTCTGTAGTTGCTTCTAGGATGAAACCCTCCACATACAGAAGCAGGATTTTAAGGTAGAAGGATTTTAAAGGTTCCTTTTTTTAGTCATATTTTCAGGAAGCCAAACGGTCATTAGGGCATGTTCTAATTATTAGCTCTGAGATAATTATTTAGCACCGAAAAACATGTTAATACTGTGACGAGTTGTTAAGAGAATGACCTTGAATCGTCTTTGTCGAACCAGCCTGATTGGGTAAACTCAGAAGGCAGTAAGTAAAAAGAGGCGTAAGGGACCAAGGTCGTCTTTAACTCAACTTCAAGCGCGGCTCTGAAGACGTTTTTAGTATAAACTTCTCTACGTGCATACATAATTTTGTTAGGCTTCGGGAGGGTCGCAGTTTGAAATGGATTGGGCTTTTCTTAGTCATCTCTTCAGGCAGCTAAGCGATCGTAAATGCCCATTCTATTCTAATTATTAGTTACAAGTTGGTTTTTAAACATATAAAAACATAGTAACACTATGATAGGTCAATGTGGGTTCGAGGCAGAAGAAATTGCCACGAGTTGTCAATTCTAGGATCTTCTAGTCTTAGAAGGAATTTAATGCTAAGCGGCGTAAGGGAACCTTCCTTACGCTAGAAAGGTCTTGGTCTTCTTTGAGACTTTTAATTTTTAAATCTCAATATCTCGACGAAAAAAAAGATATTCGATCAAACTATTCGTGCTCCTATTCAGCCGAAAATATAGGAAAAAATCGCACTTGTTTTCACTTTTATGCTAAAACATCTCAGAAACCTGAGTCGCCAGAGCAGTTATGACCCCTAATAAGGATTCAGTACGTCGAAAACCTTTGGCCTTGTAGCCTTGCTTCTGGTAAAATATTTTCGCTTAATTTTGCCGGACAGTGTTTTCCAACTGACCATAACCGTCTACGTTCCCAAATGCACTATCCACAGAGACAGCATACAGCTTCCGCTTGACGATGATGAGAACTCGAAGCTCATTATTAAGTAAGGTTGTTCGGTATTAGGCAGACAACAACACCTAGTGCCTAAAGTTATGCTAGCCGATCATTTCCGCTATGTTGGCCCTAAAATTGGCTGCGGCCTAATTGGATGCTCCAGAAAAACGCAGTTCGCCAATTAATTAGCCAATTCGTTGCCTGAACACCGTTCGTTGAACACAGCATCCGCACAAGTTATAGCTCATTCCACCTTGCAACGGAGTTTATCCTCAACTTTTATTCCTGGACTATCATTAAATAGGTCCAAGCGGTTTCCAAGGCCTTTAGAGCAGTTTCGCTTTCTTTGCAGATCCTGATTTTATGTCTGCGCCTCTTTCGGCAAATATACAGTCTGCCACTTTCAGTATCGCAACGACTCTCGAATGAAAGACCCTTGCCTTGCACCCAAAGCAGTAAAGCATCTGAAGTTACCGTCCAGACGCCATCCGGCTCCGTATCATTTTCAATCTT